TCAATTCCATCTCTGTATTTCCGGCGCTGGATTGGGTACATTACCACTATTTCTATGACCATGCCTAATGCAATGGAGCAGATACAGAAGTTTCCTATGGCCGTTAACACCTGATAATGATAATTAGGAATAAAAAAGAATAGTTAGCAAAGAGTGAGAACAAATTTTCAAAACTTGCAGGCAGCTTCTAATGCTAATGTTAGTGAAATACCGACTCCTCCTGATAATGTTAGGAAGAAAGAAGAAGGGGGCTTTGATCCTAGCACCTCGGCAAGTAACTCCATATCTATCAGAAGTGCATATTATGTGACAAGTCACCTTACGGTTCATTCCTTTTCTTGGATAACAAGCAACTTAAGACTATCCAGCAAACTTTTCATGTTAGTTTAATAACATTACCTTTTGGAAGTGCCCCTCTTGATTAGTGCTGTCAACGAGGTGAGCAGCTTTACCAAAGAAGGTGTGCACTCCAGTGGCGATTACAATAGCTTCAAGCTCACCTTGCTTGCAAGTAGACCCAGAGAAAACTTCACTGCCAGGATGCTTTGTTACAGGCAAGGACTCGCCCGTGAGGGCAGACTGATCAATCTTCAGGGGATCACCCTCCAGGAGACGAGCATCTGCAGGGATGATATCTCCCAACTTGATGCTGATGATATCTCCTGGCACCAATATTGCAGCTTCTTGCTCGCTCCACCTTCCATCTCTTAGAACCTTCAGTCATAATTAACATAGAAACACGCATGAACACACAAATCCCGTCATAGTTTCTCGATGTTTTAACCAAGTAATCATTCGAATATACCTTGGTTTTGGGAGCAAGACCAGCCATAAGTGCAGCTGCAGCATTCCCTGCATTATTTTCTTCTATGAAACTTATAGTTGAGTTGATGAGCAGCAACACCACTATACCAACAAAATCCTGCCAGTCCGGTGGCCTTCCCTGCATTCGTTACTTGACATCAACATCAACAGTATTAGGAGATGATCCATCAATGACATTGATGGCAAATACATCATGACAGAGAAATAAATAAAAAAGATCATTTACTCCTCCATTTGCCAAAGCAATGGCCATGATGGCAGCAACCTCCATAACCCATGATAGAGGATTCCACATAAACCCCAAGAATTTCAGAAACTTGCTTTCCTGTTTCAAGTTTCTCAAATGTTAAATTTATAGTGTCTTCTTAAGAAAAAGTGCATTTAAAGTATGAACAGAAATGATTGCCTCTTTCTCTTCAAGCTTATTAGGACCGAAAATCTCAACTCTCTTCTGCCCTTCCTCACTCGTCAAGCCATCTCTCGTGCATCTCAGCGACTCAAACACTTCTTCAATCGGAATCCTCTCCTGTTTATCCACAAACACCATTAACAAACAGAGTAATACAAAATCTACACAATCAAATAAAGAGATTCTCCTTGTACCAAGTCGACATTCTCCTTCTTTATTTCATTCAAGCTAAGGTCCCTGTCCGCCATTGTCTATTGCTTAAGAGTTACAGAAACACACCGCTGAAGCCAAGCAAAATTCAGAATGAATCAGCAGAAAGATGAGGATGATAAAGAGCGGAGCATGATTAACAATTTTGTTGAAGAATTGAAAACGAAATATCTGAATGGGAGTAGAGAGAATGAGTAACTTAAATATGAGTTTGTTAAAAATGGCATGAACCTCAAGTGAGCGAAAGAGCGGGACTCTTGCTTTTCTCTCCCGTAGTCCCGGTCTTTCGGTTATTTCCAACAATACATATTTTTAAGGATTAAATTTATTTTTCCAATTAAATTTTTTTTTTAAAAAAAAAAAATATAAAAAATTTTTTAAATAAAAATTAATTAATGGTCTAAATTTTTACGCTTCATCAATTAAATCATGGAGATTTAAATTGAGATTAATGTTAATCCATTCATTAATTGGATTCTCCTTTTCAAAATTCCAAGATAAGAGGATTTTTGTTTAACTTCCCTCGTATTTTTGTAATATCTTAAACAACGGACGTGCGTAATCCACACACACACACACATATATATATATATATATACATATATTATAACTATAGCTTACATATTATATAAAAATAAAATTTAATTTTTAAGTAATTGCAAACTATACACTGTATAATTTTTAAATATAAAATAATAAATTTAATTTTTAATTTTACAATCTAAACCTACTTAATCAATCCTGCTAATCACAATCTCTCCGGTGATTGTTCGTTCTCTCGCAACCCTATCCCCTTGAAAATCTCAGCTCCTTATCCGATTTGAGCCTCTGAAAACCCTAGCCGAACCTTTTCCCGCAGCTCTCTCCTCTAGTCCCTTTTTTTTTTTTTTTTTGCCGTTGCCTCTTGTAGTTCATCTTCCGCCTCTCCGGTCCTCTCCTTTTTTTTCAAATAGCCTCTGTTCTCCAAGCAAGCCGCCAGATCTTCACCTTTTGCTATCTCCAAGTCTCCTTTTACTGGAGAACCGCACATCAGATTCCCACCGTTGTCCCTTGAGCAACAGTTTCTTGCCATTCGCGTGCTCCATCGTTCTCTGTCTTGTACGATTCGAGCTCTGCAAATGGCTGTCCGTCCTTCTGAAACTCTGCTTCTTTTGGCGAGGACAGCTCACCCGCGTGCCCCTCTTCTGTCTTCTCTCTCTCTCTCTCTCTCGAGCTTCTCTTTCTCTAAACTACAATCCACCAAAACGATGTCGTTTACGAATAGGGGTAATGGGCCGGATATTGGGCCTGGATTGGGCCAAATTGGGTCATTTTAGGCTTATGATATTTGATTTCGGGATGGAAATATGGGTTGGGTTACGGAATGGATTTAAGATGGGTTGTGGTTAATGAATTGGGTTGATGAATATGAAAATGGGCTTTAAAGGGAAAGAAAATTAAAATTGAGTATGAATATGTATATATATATATATATATATGTATTAATATGTAAGTTGAATGTACGAGAGGTTTACAAGTTAAATTAAACTTTGTTTTGTAACATTATACTTGGAAAACGAGGAGTATCAATTTTTTTTTTTTTCATTCTCAAAATATATAATTAGATTGTGTAATAATATATTTGTATAACGTACATGCATGGCATTTGATCATCTAAAAGTTTATGTCACAACTAAATCTGAAATAATTGAGGGGGGGGGGGGAGAAGAAGAATGTAGCAGAGACATATTTTTTATGTCATTATTATAAAGTTGCATCATTGGGGTGGCTAATTAAAATAATTTCTTTTCTTTTAAAAAAAATAAAAAAAAAAACCATGTGCATGCTAACATGCACATGTGGTATACGATATGTGGATAACATGGACGTGCATGTGAAGTTATGGAGAGTGATAATAACAACATATAATACAATATAATTTTAAGTGTATATAATAATCTTATTTTAATAGAAAATTGAGATACCTTTTCCATACTTGTCCCCCAAACTAATTTAATTTAATTTACTTTAAAATAAAAAAAAAACAAATGGGTTTTATTCATCTAATTTAGTTCTTAATTATATAATAATATATGTATATATATATATGTATATATATCATGTAGAAATCCAATCAATACAAACCAAGGATCTACGTGGGTACTAAACATAGAATTGATTTACGTTCATTGTCTCCCTCCATGATTTGGACATGAGATTCCATGTACACCATGATTAATTTTGACTGCTTTTGATTTCTTAATTAATTTAATTATTTTTATTCTTCAATCAATTAATTGAGCTGCAAATATAACAAACAAGAATTTTTAGTTGGTATTATTTTAATTTTATAAGCACGGTGAGTCCAATTATGTACGTGACAACATTATACAAATTGAATATATATATATATATATGTGACAATGAAATATAAAGACCAAAATTCATGTTATAAAATGTAGTCCGGTTGGATTATATAAATGGTATTTTAATTTTATATATATATTTATAAAAAAAAAAGTAACCATTGATTATCATATAAAAATTTAAAGTTACATGTAATAAATAACTTGAGATTTTACAAACTGTTAGTTTCGACTTTTAAGTTCTTATACTAGTGATATCTGAGTGGAAAATATTGAAACTCAACTAAAATAAAAAGAGAAGAGAAGAAAATTATATATTTATGTGAATTTTTTTATACGAATTTTCAGTCAACGGGTTAATTTTTAAATTGACGAATTACGAAAAAAAAATTATAAATACGAATTCTGACAGATACTTATCGTCATCCTGAATAATAGATACAATTTTTATTATAAATGAGATTCATTACTTATATAATAACTAAAATCTTTATAATTATTTATTATTTATCTAACTTTCTAAATAATAAATAGTTCAAATTAAATTATCGAAACAAAGTTGACAGTTGCATGGCATTACTATATAGTAAAAAAGATAATTATTATCATCTTAAATGATAGATACAATTTTTATAGATGAGATTCATTACTTATATAATAACTATAATTTTTATAAATATTTTATTATATATTAACTTCTTAAATAGTAGATGATTCAAATTAATTACCGTGACAGTTGTATGGTATTACTATATAGTAAAAAAAATAAAATTACAGAAACAATTATAGAATTTCTTCTTGTGGGGGACAAAAGCAATTCCCAACTGGATAATTAATGATTAAGCATGATTTCTTCGATTAGAGGAATGGATCCCACCAACATTTTGTTTCTTAAAAAAGTTGAAACTAATAATTTAACTTAATTAGAAAAAACTTATATAATTTAATTAATTATGTATTTGTATACATTAATGGGTAGTCCAATATTTGTACCCATAATTCTATTTGTTCATATATATGTGTGTGTGTGTATGTATATATGTATGTATATTTGTTCAATCATTTGCAATTAAACGAGCGGGGAAAAAATCAACTTCATTGTGTTTAAAGCAAGAATTTCAATTTAATTAATTAATAGTTATTAAGAATAGTTAAAAATAATTAAACACATTTAATTATAATTAATTATCAACGACCAAGGTTTTCATTTGCTTAAATAATATCTTTAAACCAAGTGATTAAACCATTTTTCCACAAATTAGGAGTGCACCAAAGTTGATTACAATAATAGTAATACACATTTAATTACAATAATTTTCAATGGGTATTTAAGGAGAACATATTATATGTGGGTATTGGACTGATTTAGATTGAAATTTCTCATACACATATATATATATATATATATACATACACACACACATATAATAATAAATAAATATAATTATTTTTGTAGGGAATTATGAGCATGAGTTCAATTATGATGTTCGCACCCGCAGTAAAGTATGGAAAAGCAATATAAAGAGGTAGTGATGAATAGATGTTGTGTGTAATTGATGAGTCATAATTGGATATGATCTTCAAGGAATTCCTTTGCTTCCTTTGGAATTATATGCTTTATAATTATTACAAATTAAGGTATATATGTATCTCTGTGTGTGTGTATATATATATATATATATATTAGTTCCTAGGTAAGCTACCCCCTATGTGATTAATTAATTAATTAATTAATTATATATGCAATAATATATTTATCAAGTACCCACGTATAATATATTGGTTATTCATGATCATTCATTATAACTGATCATTTACATATTGATTGGGCAAAAAATACGTATAATCTTCATGTCCAAATATATATATATATATATATATATATATATATATCCCCACATACTTGCAAGAGCTCCATGGTTATGCTTATATATAAATCATATTGCTATACTATAACAAATGAAAAAGATCCCCCAAATGGAGACTATCTTGATTAGTAGAATTTAATTATTGTTTCTAGCATTCCAAAAGTTTTTTTTTTTTTAAAAATAATTTAAATTATTATTTTATGTAATAATATTAAAAAAAACAATTAATTAATTATTTTTTAACTTTAATAATATTTAAATCTTTAATATCTGCGGGCAGTCAGAGAAGATAGAGTACGAGAGACAGTAGATGGTGACAATGAACAACTCATAGTGCCAAATGACAATCACTAAGCTATGGACGATGGTTGCCAAATAACAATCTTTTGTTGGATGATTAGTACTTGTATTATTTTTATAAGATTATGAATTTAAATATTAGTTATGTGTCCGGTGTGTATTTGTTAGTAAATTATGTGATTATTAATTTATATGTATCATTTAATTAAGAAAATATTATACTATGACGTTTCCGCCCAAAGTTAAGAGTGAATCCAAAATATCTGCAGCAGTAGAATGTGAAGAACTAGTCGTTACGATAGACTTGGTCAACAAGCAATTGAAGTCATTATCCCATTTTCAAGTTCATGTTTTTTTTTTTCCATTATCTTAATTGCTTAAAATAGGAGCCATCAATTATATTTTTTGTATATTTAAAGTTGACAATGAACAACAATGAATCATGAAAGAAAATGAAGTTCACCAATCAAGCTATCCAGAAATCAACGTTTTGTATAAAAGATAACAAGTAAAGTTGAAGGAAAATACCGAATTGCGCAGGTAATCCTCAGTGAGGGTGGAAGGTGCGGAACGAGTGAACAAAGAAAGAAACTCGGTGAAGGCAGAAGGCGCTAAGGCGAGTGAACAGAGAAAGAAGCTCGGTGAAGGTGGAAGACGCGGAGGCGAGTGAACAAGAGAGACGTTCTTTGCAGGAGTGGGTGTGCGGTGTGTGTATGTATTTACCTGCAAACAGCTAGAAATAAAATGC